AGTGGAAGGGAGGAGGAAAAGGGGAGCAGAGAGAGAGAGAGAGACATCTAATGGTTGCCTCCTACATGAGCCCTGACTGGGGGTAGGGACTGAACCTGCAGCCCAGGTACATGCCCTCGACTGGGAATTAAACCCTCCAGTACACACTCTAACTGCTGAGTCACACACACCAGCCAGGGCTGAAGCACAAATTTTTAAAATGTTGATGATGTCCAATTTATGAGTTTTATCCTCCCCTGCTTTTGCAGGTGTCAAACCATTGCCTAATCTGAGATCATTACATTTAGGCCCATGTTTTCTTCTAAAGGTTTAGAGTTTTAGCTCTTAAATTTAGGCTGATGATCCAGGTTGAGGTCATTTTTGTATATAGTGTGAGGAAGGGGGTCCAACTTCATGCTTTTGCAGGTGCATATCCAGCTGCCCCAGCACCATGTGCTGAGGAAATGGCTCAGTGTCTCTGAGCCTCAGTCACCCGGTCTCTAAAAAGAGCCTTAAAAGACCGCCTTGCAGGGTGCTATGATCATTCAATGAGATGGAAGAAAATACCCCGTGGGGTGAGGGGACCTCTAGCCCACAGCACACGGTCAATGCCTATAACTGAAGGAATGGGCGACGGACTTGAAAGTTCTCTGAAACACTGGTCATCACTGCTACCCTATGACCACAGCTTTTCCTTCCCTGACGATCTTAAACAGGCACAGTCCCATCTGTTTGTCACAGGAGCCCCGGGCTGCTTCTCAAGAACCCAGCTGCTGGGTGGCTCCAATAATCTTTTTTCTTCCCCCCCTCCCTTTTCTTTCCCTTACTTTCTACCTTAATTGTGCATTAAACAGTCTTGGTCTTAGCTATTTAATCAATTTATAATTGTTAACCCACTCAAATCTGTTTTGGCAAGGTGGTGGGAGGGCATTAATGAATGGATGAGTCAGTTGACGAAAAGGTCCCTGATTTAAAGTGAAGCCCCTACAATGATCCCACAGGCCACCCCACATGTGGGTGTCAGAGGAGGCCAGGGGACGCCACTTTCAGCTCTCTCTGTGCTCTCCCACTCCCCTGCCCACTCTGGAGAGAGCCTTTCACATTGCATCTCCCTCCTCCATGGTGTTTGCAACACCTCCCAATTTAGTTTTCTCTCTGAATTTCATTAGTGTCCCATTTGCCTCGTCTTCCTGATCTCTGAGGAAGCAGGAGGAGCCTGACTTGGCAACAAGGACTCCTGCTTCCTGACTCGGGGTGACAGGGACAGGCAGATTTGGGGCCCATAGGCTGCAGTTCCAGATAGCGCTCTGGTCCATGAGGCTCAGGCCAGCACACTGCAGCTGGACCCCAGCTGTGCATCAGACACTGGGCTCAGCAGTGAGGAGCTGTGCTTGCCCTTGAACCCTTAGCCCCACAGGGATGGATGGGTAATGCCTGTGCCATGTGCTTCAGGGACTTCACCCCCCGGGCAGGTGGAGTGAGTAAGAATGAGGGTGTTGAGTTGGTGCACAGAGAAAGTCTGTGGGGACATTCAGGAAGAGGGAACAGCGGGTGTAAAGGCAGGATGGTAGGAACAAGAGAGTGTAAGCGAGTAACACCAAGGAATCTGATGTGCCATGATTGGTTCATCCGTTCATTCACTCGGTGCATAGTTACTGAGTGCCCACAACATGCAGACAGCGTTCCAGGCATAAGAACACTGCAAGGAACAACACAAAGTATGTCCCTGCCCTGGTGGCGCTCAGGTTCCAGTGGGAGAAGACAAACAACAAGCAACCAAACTTGCAGTGTCATATATAATGCCTCAGGTGGAGATGAATGGGATGTAGAAAGGGTCAAGTGGAAGAGGGCAGAGGAGGGGCTGGGCTGGGAGACTGCTCCTGGTGCAAGGTGCTCAGGGCAGCTGCCTGTGCTCTGCTCCACTGCATCCACCTGGCTCACACCTCTGGCCTCCGGCGGCTACCTGAGAGGAACACACTCCTGGTCACTGACCAGGCCCTTGCAGCCCAGGGTTCCTCTGCTCACCTGGATGGAGACTTGGAGGTCTGGTTGCTGCTGTTCCCACTGCCTGAAGAGCTTCCCTGAGACTGGAAACAAGGCTTCTATGCCTTATGCCCTGAAGCGGGAGTGTGCTCACGGTTCAAGGAACAGCAAAGAGGCCAATGTCCCTGTTGGGTCACTGTGAGGCCTCTGGCTTTTCCTCTGTGTGAGCCTTGGAGCCACAGGAGGGTTTGGAGCAGAGGGGTGGTCTGATGTGACCAGTGTTTTAACAGGTACCTCAGTGTCAGACCCCAGGAGGGAAGGGTAGCAGCAGAGCCCCATGCAGATGCCACTGTGATAATCCAGGTCTAAGAAGGTGCTTGGACCAGAGTGGGGACAGGGGAGGTGGTCACAGGTGCTGAGGAGGGGAGAGAAGTGATGGGGTCAGTGTAAATACAGCACAGAGTGCGAGGGGAGGGATGGGGTGCTGGAGAGAAAATGAACCACATTCTACATAGAAGAATTCACCTTTGCCAAGGCTCAGATTCAAACCTGTCCTGTCAGAGTCAGACACTGCTCCCTGTATTTCTGCAATGTCCTCCCTCCCTCTTTGAGTTCGACAAGGGCTCAGCTATATGGGCAGCACCAACATGGGGATGAGGGATGCTGTGTCTGGGCTCCAAGAAGCCTCCACTGTCAGTGCATGATATGTTCACATGTTGTGACACTCACAGGACCAGAGGGAGAAAGTCCTGAGAAGGGTGATTCAGAGCAGAGAGAGGAGACCATGTTTCTTAGGGTTAGATGGGAGGGCAGGGGAGGAGGAGGGCGAAATTCAAGTTTTTTATTTTAACTTTCTTGACATCACAAGTGAGCATGGATGAGGTTGAAGAGTCTCCTTCAGCCCTGTTATCTTCCCTCTATGGAGTGAACCTTGGCTTGCTTATCTGAAAAATGGAATTATAAGAACTGCCTCAAGGGCTTGTGAAAGTTATAAATAAATCAAGTACTTGGCACAGTGCTTCAATACATGGGAGTCTATTTTACTTGTCTCTCTATAGGAAAAGTTAAAAATCTTTTTTTAAAATAATTTTTTAAAATATTTCAGAGAGGAAGACAAAGGGAGAGAGAGAGAGAGAAACATCAATGATGAGAGAGAATCATTGATAGGCTGCCTCTTTTACACCCCTCACTGGGGATCAAGCCCACAACTCCAGCAGGTGCCCTGACCAGGAATTGAACCATGACTTCCTGATTCTTAGGCTGATGCTCAAACACTGAGCCACGCTGACCAGGCTAAAAATCTTAATAGATCTCTTCAGAGAACCGTATGTCTCTACTACTGAGCATACATCCCAGTCTGTAGTTACACATTCCTTGGGCTGAGAACAGAGGCTACTTTTGTTTTGTTTTGTTTTCCCTAATATTTTTATTGATTTTTAGAGAGAGAGGAAGGGAGGGGGATAGAAGAGAGAAACATTGATGTAAGAGGGACACATCGATTAGCTGCCTCCTGTACGCCCCAACCTGGAGATCGAGCCCACAACCTGCCATGAGCCCTGATCAGGAATTAAACTGACAACCTGGTGCACAGGACTACACCCAACCAACTGAGCCACATGGGCCAGGAGTACCTTCAGTTTTGTTCCCTGTTATATCCCCAGAGCCTATCACAGTGTTGGGCCTGTCATTTTTATTCAATATGTTTTTGCTGAATAAGCTAAATAAATGATTGAGTCAGTTATGTAATGTCTAGACTCCAGTGTTTTTTAGCTGGGAGACCTCAGATAAGATAGTTCCTTTCTCTGAGCCTCAGTTTCCTTACCTGAAAAATGGAAATTATACCCACTGTGGTGAAGGCAGGTACTGTTCACCAAATAGCCATGTCTTCCCCACATTTCCCAGAGCCCTAAAAAACTAGGGCATGAGGCTAGTTCCGGCCCGTGGGCTGTGCGTCCCTTCGGGACTGAAGCATTTAAGAGCCAGTGCAGACTTCTAGTTGTCTCGTCCCTGCTGCAGGGACCAAGGTGGCCTCACGTTCCAGGTAGTACAGCTACAAGATGGCTGAGCCTTTGTCTACCTGCTCCCAAGGCGCGAGGTAGAGCAGAGCCCTCCACCCACCTCAGTTAGACATGCAGCACCAGCAAGAAAGAAACCTTTGCTGTGTTAAGCCGCTGGGATTCTGGAGTGAATTTATTACTGCAGCATAACTGGGCCTAGCAAGACTCACACATCTCCCTTGCAGATGGCTTGGAGGAAAAGAAAAAGGGCTGGGCTCCCAGTAGGTTTTCAATAAGGAGCTTACTCCCTGGGCCCTGAGTCCTTTGCTTCCTCAGCCTTCTCCCCAGGGCCCAGCCTCTAGTTATGATCCTGCCTTTCTCTGTGCCATGTTCCTTCTCTAGCTTGAAACATCCTTCCACTTTCCCACCCAACCAGGTGCTTCCTACTGTTTCTGCTATCGCTCTTCTGTGTGGCAATATAAAGAAAGGCCTCCAGGGAGCTTCTCTGGCCGCTGGACCCGGCCCCCAGGCCACCTGTCCTCCACGCAGCCTCCCCTCAGCTTCCCCCCTCCTCCTCCACGCATAGCACACACAACCCCCGCCCCGCCCTCACCCCCGCCATTTTCAACTCTGCCTCTCACTCCACTCCAGCTTGGAATGCAACCATTGACCTCTGAACCCCAGAATAACTGATCACCACCACTGCCTATGTGGTCCTGAGCTTGCCAGGTGCCTCCTGGCTGCCAGCTCCCCCATCTCATTCCAGCTGGATGCCAGGCCCTTGCCTGCTCTGTCTTCCAATCATGCTGGTTGCTGGCTTCTGATTGGGTTCCAGCACCCACGAGTCCGCCTACTGCTTTTGGCTCCGCAAGGAGGCCACCTCCACTCTGGCCGGACCGCCTCCACTTCCCATGCTACTTAGTGGCAAAAGCCTTCACCCAAAAAGCAATCACGATTTCGCATTCCAAGAGGGACTTTCTCATCAAGACCACAGGTTTGCAGCTAATGACGCAGAAAATCAGAGCAGACAAGGGGACTGACCTGGCTCCATGTCCGCATGTCCTGAAGAGTCAGCAGTGTCCGTGGGCCATCGGATCCTGGAGGACGGGGCTCGATCCTTTCTGTTGAAGCAGAGAACACAGGCCCAACTGAGTGAGGTGGCAAGATGCCCCTGACCTTCCTCACAGATCTTTCCCCAGCAGCCACTACAAACACACAGCATGGGGAGCTGGGCTTGTTCCTGATCCCCCAGCCACACAGAGAAGTGGGGTCCCAATTCCCTGAGGACCCCACACAGACTTCCTCTCTGCAGCCTCCCCGGGAGGCTCTGGTGAGTCTCCCTCAAGGTGGGAGTGAGGGTGCTGTCTGATGGCTACTGTTCACAGGTGATTCCTCCAGCTGCCCAAACCTCTGAAGGCATGGACTGCAAGTTACAACCCAGGTGCCCAGCTAGGGCTTGGAGCAGAATAGAAACAGTGTTTTGCAAGGGACTGACTGTGATGTGATGAGTGTTGGGACAAAGGTGAGGGGATGGAGCTTAAGGCTGATGCTCTGGCCCCTGCAACAGTCCTGGCATTGATTCACTGAATTTCTTGGAGCCTTCCTTCCCTGCCCAATAAAATGGGCTGAGCATCCCTGTGGTACTCTATGCGGGAGTGATGGGAGTCCCCTGGGCAGAGTTCCTTACACAGAAGAGTTCTGGTTCTGGCCCTCTTGCTTATTGCATTGCAACCTCTAGCAAATTGGTTCCGCTCTTTGAGCCTCGGTTTCCTCATCTGAAAGAGGAAATTTTTGAACTAGGTGGCCTGTGAAGTCCTTTCTGCCCCTAGAATTTTATGACATTGAATTTGACTTATCTCTGATCTCCAGTGCCAAAGGAGATAGCTGTACATGATAACAGCTTGTGAAATGAATTAAAAACAAATCTATCCCACTCGAAGAAGGGTGAGGGGAGGCTCAAAGGTTTTAAGTCATTTGCTTTGGTCATCGCGGGAGGGAGGAACTGGGATGTGAACACAAGTCCTCACAGATTCACGATCTGGGTACTTTGCTCTGTACCAGCGACCACACTCACCCACTGAAAACACCCTCACATGTCTTCTTATATAAAAGACCCACTAGGCAAAAGAACAAGGTATGGTAGGTGCCTTCAGTCATCTGAGGCAAAAAGTCATTACTTGAGAAATTCCTTGAATACATATTTGCCAAATATACCAAGGATCCTAGCTAAGAGACATTATTATGCATTATAAGGTGAGGCATTACTGGTAATTTCCATTAAAAATGAATTTCTAGCTTGAAATTTTTCTAGCTTCATCTGCATTTCATATATTTCTTTATTGTGAGTTCTCGTTATTCTCAACAAAGAGTAACTGCATTGGGCAGGAACGGTCACCAGGCTCTGCTCAAGGGCAGAGCATCCTTCTCCACCTCAGGTCCTGCCCACCCCAGGGTAGAAGACCTGACAACCAGAACACTAGCAAAGTCCTTCCGAGTCATACCACGTTCACTAAAATAAAAAGCGGACAATACACCACATATGGTAGGACTACCATGTTGTGCATGTTGAATGAGCAATAATGGCTCTTCATTTCTATTTATTGCATCTTGTTCATTACAAGTTTACCCTCCGAAGTTTCAGAGATCAGCAGGAATTTGCTTTGCTGGAATTATGGGCCTCACTCCAGGTGGACTTTAGGACTCAGAGCTGTTGGCTTTGCAGGGCTGGAAGGCTAATGCTTGTCTCCTACAGTTGTCTAGAAGGTTAAATAAAATCACGTATGTGATCCTGCTGGGGTCCTAGTCCCCTCCAGGGACTTGGATGAAACACTTTGGGTCTTTCTCAAGCCCTCTTCCTTGTTCAGGGGATAATAGTCCACTGTGCTTCCACAGCTCAGGCTGTAGATCCCCATGACTTCCAATCCCTTCCCTCCTGAAGAAGTTGCAGAACTGCAGTTTTAATTGTCTTCCACCCTCATCTTTCCCAAGGCTTCAGGGAAAAACCTCAACTCTCTTCTTTTTGCTTATTTCCTTTTCAATTCATACCCCTGATTTCCCTCTTTTTCACATGTCCTCCAATAAGCATCAAAATGACTATTCACAAAACCAAAATGCTCATGGGTTGACCAAAGGTTTTAGAAGTATTTATATACTAGCATTTTTTATTGTTCTTTTTTTGTTTTGTTTTGGTGATACACCACCCAACTGAGCCACACTCATGATTAGCATCAAAGGTAGCAGGAGGCTAGTATGGTCAGGGCCATACTAGCATATTTTGTGGAGGGGAAATCCAGTTAGGAGAGGAACACAGCATTCATTCATTCACTTCCTCATTCATTCATTCATTCATTCATTCATTCATTCATTCAATAGTGCATGTTAGGTGCTGTATAGGATATACTCATGACTCAAGCAAATCCTGCCTTCAGGAAGCTCACAAGCTGACAAGGAAAAACAAAAAGACATGCCCATAAGTAATTATAATGCTTGGCAGTTTTATGCGAGAGATGAAATCCCATGAGAAAACAAGAGTGGAGGGATCACCCTGGCTGACCAAGCAGAGAACTCAGCCTTGCACCAGTGTTAGGCAGGCGGCCTGGGGACAGGCAGCATGCTCTGCATGAGGGAGTGTAGGTGCAGGAGGGGAAAACGGAAAACATCACACCTGGTAGGTGGGCTGGGCCCCAACAGACAGGGCTCTGGCTGCCAATTTAGAGAAGATGAGCATTATTCAGTCAGTAACGGGGAGCCATTGAGGGCTTGTGACGTGTTGGAGATCTGCTGTAGGAAGATGAATGTGGCAAGCCCTGCACAGTATGACCAGGAAGGGGGGGTGCCTGGGATAGGAAGCTCCTAATTGTGTGCTAAGCAACCGGCAGAGTGGCAGCCGATGGTGATGGTACATACGTGATTGTATTTAACCATCTAGACAACTGCAGGAGACAAGCATTAGCTTTCCAGCCCTGCAGATGAGGAAAGGAGGCTCGATGGAGACAAGATCTGTACCCTGTTCTCTCCCTTTGTGGGAGAGCCACAAAGTGTGCTGTGACACTGTGTGACCTCTGTACACCTGACACTCCCAGAACACCTTCCACTCCCAGTGCACCTCTATGCTACCATTGGGTGGATGGAAGTGTGGTCATTTTCTGGACTGCATTTTGAGATGTCCAGCTAAAGGGAGATGCAGGGTGCCTCTTCCTCTGCTAGCTTTCACCAAAGTGACCACACATCAAGGAGATAAGACAGTGCGTTGAGTTGGGTACCAAACAACACGGACTTGGGTCTTTTGCAGGGAATTTCAAAGCTAGCAGGAGGCCAACCTCCCTCCCTGCTGGGAGAGCTTCCTTCTGTCTTTCCCTTCTCAGCTAAGGTGTGGTGACAGGAGCATGCGACCAGGGAGCCCCAGGGAACACCCTTTGGATGCCAGGAATCTGTTTTTTCATTGACATTCTAGCGTTTCTAAGCTCTGGGCTGACTTCATTCTTTGGGAGGATTGCCCGGAGTACTCAGTGAACGCAAACTGGACTTCACACCTGCAGCCAAAGATGATAATCATGAGTGACTCCTGTCAAGACGCCAGATTTAAAACTTGGTTTGTTCAAGAAGAAAAACATTCCTCATTCTAAATACGGATGATCACTGTGCTATCCACCTAACAGCAGGGTGCAGAATTTCTCAGAGGTGCCCTGGCAGGAGCAGGGGCTGTGGGGCTGGTAGAATGGATCTGAGTCACTGTCCAGTCACTGCCTGTGGGCTTTGGGAAAACCCCTTAGCTCCCTTACACGTCTTCAGTATTTAGTGGGAATGATAACAAGGGATTAGAGAGAGTAAGCGCCAGACTCTCACACAGACATCAGAATGTACAATAGTGTCTTTTCATCGTTTTATATTCCCCATTCTGGGCATTGCACTCACAGTGAGGTTACTCTCCTCACTAAGTTACCAATGGAAAGAAATGGATTTTTGGAGGAAAAATTTGCTGAAATGATAGCAAGCTGTTCATATCCATGACCTAATGCTTACTATCGGGGTCATATAAGTCTTTACTGGCATGTCTTTCTCTTCCCCCAGCCTGGGAGCTCCTTGAGACAGTGCCCACAGTATCTCCAACTCCCGGCACGTACTCGCCCCTTTCTACCTTCGTCACCTTATTCTGAGGTCCACACAAGACCGCAGTCTGCCGTTCTTTAGGGGTTTTCTTTCCCCAGCCTGGTTTAAAGAATGACTTTTAAGCAACACCTCCAAGAGGAGGTCCAATCCCCTGAAAACCATCTCATTACCATGTAGTCATTAGGGCAGGATACTTAACCTCGTTATTCTGCAAAGAAGCATTGGTTTCTAATCTAAGCCAATTATAGGTGCCAACATCTCCCCTAACATCTTAATAACGCCAAACCTCACAGGGCTCCAGACAGGCAGACAGGTTGAGAGATCTGGGGCTTACAAGACATGGAACTGCACACGGCAGAGGAGAAAATAAAGCATCCAAGCCAGATTGGAGTCCTGGCTTGTGCAGATGGGACGACCTTGCCTAGTGCCGGGCTGGACAAATGCTCCTCAAGGTGAACTCCCTTCTCTTCCCCTGGCTCCTGAGGAAAACAAAGCCATCAAACTTGTTGTAAGTAAAGAGGGAGAGGAAAGAGGGAGAGGAAGATTCACCACATTCCCGAGTCCATTTAGAATATAGATTTTTTTTTTTAAAGCTTTTCTCCCTACAGACTGAAGGAAGCAGGTTATTTCATTTTAATTATGGCAGTTGCAGCTGCTGCTGGTGAACTCAAAGACCAATTTTCCGATTCAAAACACACACACACACGCACTCATGCACTAAAGAATCAACGACACACACAGAACGACGCCTGCGTGAGAGAGCACATCGACAGGGTAGAAAAATCTGAATGTCCGGCTGGAGACACTGGGGCGCAGGGGTAAGTCCTGTGTGTGCTCACCCACTTCTCCCCACGCCGCACCTCCTCTCTGCTCCCCAACTTTCAAGGCCAGCCCATGAGCCCCATGGTGTCACGGAACATTTCCTGTTGAGCAGCTGCACACTTTTAGTGCACACCGGGGGAAATAAAGGCAGCAGATGGCTTTAGGTAATCTCCTTAGAATGTTTAACAGG